TTTATACGGATACATAAACGTCTGCTAGTTTCGCCAATGTATTAATCTCTGCAAGTATTACAAGAGATCAGGTGTATCGTACCTGAATTCATGCAGTCACCGTCTCTACCATAAGGGCAAATTACGCAATTCTGTGTTTCACATAGACGGTCGTACAGGCGGTTACGAACAAATTAACGACGAAGAGTAGAGTAGGGCATGGTATTGAAGCGCTTCGCATAATAAATTGAGTATCAGTATAACCCACCAAGCTTTGAGGAACGTGATACTGCCAAAACGTCGGCTTTGTCAGAATGATGAAGAAAGTAACACCTTGTGTTTGCTCAGCAAAAATATAGAGATTCTTAAGAATTATTTGCCTTACAGTACTATGAGGTATAAGACTGCAGTACATCCTTCTTCTATAATGTTGCCCATTTGTCAAGGGAACTTCATTACCCAGGACGTTTTAGAGTGAGTTCCAAAGTACGGTTTAATAACTATTGTTATTTGGTTTATGACATTTACCACGGTTTTTTCGAACTATTGGCGTAGTCAGCACCTATTTACCAGTAATAACAAGTATTATTTCCCGTACGCGACTTTAATCCCCTTAACCAAATTGATCTTGCCATAGTTCCCTCAAAACATTTTTTTGCTCAATAGCCATGGTTTCATTCGTTATTCAGACACTCCAGAGGTTGTTCGCCCTATTGGGTAATTGTATTCACACAGGCTGTTCTATTGCAGTGAACATTGATGATTGAAAGGCTGTCAGCGTCGATTTCAAAAACTCCACGAAATTGATTTATAGTCACACTCATCGGCATTTATCCTAAAATCCATAGGTGAACCTTTTTCTGGGTTATTTTTTCTAGAAAAACAAACTCACTCTGTTTATGTCAATCCGAGTTTGGCACGTATGGTTCTTCTTAGTGAACTACAATATTCCACGGTATTTGAAACACTGGAAGTAGAGGCAATTTCCGTCTTGTCGACATTTTGAAAGCTGTCTGGATTTTTATGCAGTAAATCTACAGAATTCGGCGGAAATAAACCTAACATCAGTATGGTGCGCTTGTCGAGCATTATTCTAGGATTCGTAAAGCCTTTCCATCTTAGGAATGGTGTTGTCGAGCATTTGTGCTGGATCGCCGTCACTATGCCCAAGCAGCAAGGACTACGTGATGGTGCCACACCAAAGACATGAAATGAAAGAATAAAATGATGAACTAAGAGAAAAAATTAACGGAGGTGCAAGATATCAGGGACGAACACTTGATACGGCCTTCACATGCTGGAAGTTTTGACGAATTCTTAGCAAGTAGCAGTTTCATGGTGCTATCTCGCTTTACCATCACGTTTTCTCCGCTTTCTATTTTTAAAGTATCATATAAAATTGCCGTTGTATTGAAGGATCTTGCAAGCTTGGTTTAATAAATTTGCTGTGGACACTGACATATGTGGCGAACGACGAGTTGTGACATGAATTTTGACATATGATGGACGATGTGCATTGAATACATACAATGCATTTGATGCAAAGATAATATACGCGTTTAACCCAAGCCTACATATCGCAACTCATACCGAATTTTGTTCATCAAAATACGAATTATTCGAATCTGCAGACCTTGCTCGACAAGTGACAACTTTTGTTATGCTGCCATGTTTAATTCTTATCATTTTGAAGTCCATAGAACATAATTTTCCCCGTTTTTTTCGTCAAGGCTCGTTTTACACTCGGGAACCAGTGAACATGCCGAATTCTCGAAGTCTCTTTCGTAAATTTTTTAGGTTCTTAATTTCTCTATTGCTGACCTGATCGACCGATTCTTGTTTGTTGAAGAAAAACCAGCTTCGTCGCGAATCTTCTACTCTCTTGATCAGGCCGACCATCCGATTTCAGCTAAAGGCGTTCTTTCATGTTGTTGCCAATGTTGATTTTTTAGGGAGCGCTGCAGTGTTAGCACTTCAGTGGTGTTACTGTAGAAAATTAGTTATACCTCTACATAACTTGGATTTTTCAAGTGAAAACTCAAGTTTTGAAGAAAAGCGGCTCATTGCTTTAGGTCATACTTTACTGATTTTTCATTTATTCTTTCTTCTGAGCAAATTACGAGCCAAAACCGCTGCCACATTAAATTAATTGACTTTATTGTGTTTTCGAGCCTTCAAAACATGCATGAAAGCATTTTCTTCTACTTTTAACGCATCAAATAGAGTGTTAAATAGTCCTCCACTAGAAAAATGGTAACTAGGAGCAGTAGCTGCTCACAGATTACCACAATCCGTGGTGCAGTTTGTAATGCGCGAGCTCCTGGAAAGGGAAATCGTGAATCGATCCGGCGTGGGGTTCATGTTTTGGAACTGTCTCAACATCATTGTGGTTGATTTCGCATAACATCCTGCAGTGAAAATTGCAGTAGACAGTAAATATAAAACATTACCACAGCTATGTTCTTTCAGCCTGAACGAAGTGCTGCTAAATTCTTGTTTCCACAGAAATGAAATTCAGGTCCCCTTTACCTTTAGGCGTCCAGCAGTTCAGCGAACAAACACTTGGAGGTTGTATTTGAACTCATGGACTGTAAATATGATAAACTCAGTACCGTCGTAGATAATAATTTTAACACTTCGTTTGGTGATCCAACTCTTAAACTCTGCCAGGAAGCTTTATTTCGCTTACTCCCGGTCAATTACTTAAGAAGCGGAATTCATTTCGAATGATTGTATAACAAACCAATTTTTCCGAATAGCAGCTAAGTCAGATTCACCGCCCTTGATCTAAAAATTACCCACTGACCAGCAAAAGAAGTCACTGAACAAAATTTATAAACATACTGTGGTGCAATACAAAAATTAATAGCATGTTTATAATGATTTATCGTCTTTTTTGTATTAAAACTCTACCGTATCATTGTTTACCGTCCGTGAATTAGTGTTCTACTGGAAACGATTAATTGGAGTTAAGGGCGAGGTGAACAGGTTCTCACATGGTGTACAGCCCTTACACATCTATTCATTTCCTTCTCCGACCGATGTCATGCATAGGATGGTTCCTATGAATGTTATTGTAAATACGACAACCGCATATTCCAGCAGTTCATGTGCTCGAGGAGCAGATTTACCCAAGCTACTAGTGGCTGCCTTTGAAGTCGTTTTGCTCTTAAATAGTATACGCTACATTAAGTTCTTTCAATATGATTTAGTCTTAGTGTTCACTAGACATCTTTGTACACAAAAAGATTGAGCGTTAAGTGCGCTTCCAAATTCCCAAAATCCTCTTTAGAACACTGTGACGCGTCGATGTCGATGAAGGATCCAAAAGCGGCTCGGTGTCGTTACACAGAATAGAAAGGATCGGTGTGTCAAGCAGTAGGAAATGAGAAAGGGTACGGTGTGTCGGTCAGGCCGCCCCTTACTTCCGATAACTAAGGCCTTCGCTTTGTCATCAAGAGGTTTCTACTTGAGGTTATTGTCGTTTCTGAATGAACCAGCTTAACAATAGTGGAGTTTGATACTCATGACCACTCTGAGTGCTCTTTATTCACATCAATTACGAATTTTTGCAACTGTATTCAAAATAGGAAGCTGTTCAGGCGCACTTCCTAAATGAATAGATGTGTTCGAAAACTTGACAGTTTCAAAGTATATGGGCTACACATGGTGGAGTGTGGATTCGCTGCATCTTTTGCCTCTGTCCAGAATTCTTGATATCCTTTCCACTGTTTTTACCTGACTTTCAAAATCACTCTGGTTGAAACGGTGCGCTTGGTGTATCAGTAGCATGATAACGAGGTAGACCTTTAGATGGAATACCAATAACGAATTGTTGAAAAGTTTTCGTAGAGATCGTTAAAAGTGAAGCAATAACGGTTGTTAACCTAAAACAATGGAGATCTTTCGAAGACTTTCGATTTCTTCCGGATTAATGCGATTACGAAATCCCATTTCGGACGAGTGAAAGACTGTGGACAATCCACTCGGATCACTGCGGCTCTGAAGTAGGAAAAGCCTCGAAACGTTAGCCATAATAAAGTCTTTTAAACAACCTCGTGTAAGGTAAATAATCCAAGCAAAAATTGATCAGTCAAATCAAGATTAAGTGAAGGCCGTTTTTCGAAAAAACTAAAGGCAATTCTAAACGAGATATTTCATTGCACTGAGCATTCTATCTCATTGCGGCTGTGGTGCCGCTACGCGCGAGGTGCTTCCCTTTGTGCATCTCGTTCTCTTACAAGCTTGGATTTCCTTCATATTCGAAGTAGAAAAATCAATTTTTTTGTCACGCTGTTCCCATTATTCTCAACTTTTATGTAATTCATTTTCGTTTTGGGAAATTCCGTCGTTGACTCCTCATTGACTTACTTAATAGTTCAAGTTTTAGTTGAATATATATAAGCCCTCTCTTTAAATTAAATGACTTCGTCGCATTTTGTCATTTTTGTCTGTCTTATGTTACAAAACCAAATTTCTTTAGCGAAAAGTAGATCAAAAACGAATATTCAAAATAATTAAAGTAGAATTATTTAAGTTGCGACGTTGATGTAAAAGTGTTTAGTTCCTTGAGAAAGAATGCGCGAAAATAACGCAGTAGTGAGGTGCCTTACAGTACAACTCACCAAGCCATCCACCGCTCCAAGATCAACAAATCGGTAGCAGACCTGTGTTGGAGGATAGTTGGAGGACATTGACTTGATGGATCGGTTAAATAAGTCATTGTAACGGCCACATATGTATTCAATCGCCTCAAACCATGCTTGATAAAGTCGAATGCATGGCACGTGTCTTAAAGATTATATCAACATCGAACGGTTTCTTTTATTTTTTATCTTGACTTACAAAAAATAGTTCCAAGTTTTTTATGCCTCTGCGAAGCTTCAAAAATCAAGAGCATATCCTAACAGAGTCACAACCGCATTGTCCTGCTTAGACTCGTTCATGCTTCTTAGAGAATTTTTCCGTATACTTTCTTTCAGGTCTTCTTTCTAGCTTTGATCTTCGGCTTTTAATCCACTATGAGAGTACCGAGCGGTAATTATGTGGCAGTTAGGAATATGATTTCATTTTGGTAAGAGAACATGCTACCTGGAAAATCTCACTATCTTTTTTGATGTTAATCTTCAGGATCTTCGGCATGTGCAACAATTTTGCCTATAATGTCATGCTCGGTGCAGCACAGGACATATTGACGAGGAGTTCGAACATCACGGGAAAGGTCGCCAACAGTTCAGAGCGTTGTGTGGTCGGTAACGACATTCTCCTTATCAACTACTAACACTGAATTATCTCAAATTCAACTTTTACACATTAACTTGGGAATAAAAGGCAGTAAATAAATTATTTGCGGCAACACAGACACTATGAAGTAATATGCATTGAAATTAGTGCTTGCCGTCCATTTTTCCGACTGTCTGTGTTTGGATTCGTTTTGATATACACGGTGAGAACGAGTCTATTTCAATTTTGCGGTGTCATTTTGTTTTTTTTCAGGTATTTTTTTAAAGGATGACTATGTTGATGAAATCGTCACTGTTGTCTACCCATGTTCAAAACAATGTAGTCAAACTAGTCCAGAAACATTATCTCTATAATACGATTAAACATTTAACCCTTGTCAGATCAAAGACGTTACATCTGCAATTGTTCGAGAGATTTCTTCAAGGGCATTTCGAATTGTAGGAGGTGATCACGTCCCGTAGCTGCTCTCCTGCGTCTGCTGGCGTGGTGCTGTTGTGCAACATCTTGCCATGTCTTATAGTGAAGTTGCTCTGTCCTTTCTTCATGGAACACATTCCATACTCGTAAGTGCAGTAATGATTTTTGGAAGGATAAATATACCAATCTTTAGAAAAATTTTGAAGCGACTTCCCTTTAAACGTTCGAATTTATTGAATCATTATAAGTTGAGTTCGTTCTTCGAAAATTCATTCATGGATTGACAAAAATCCGAAGACAACGAAATAATTCGTAATTTGAATCCACTTTCGTCTCCAGTTTCTACCATAAGTGTCGCGTGGGTGCAAATGCAGGTCAGTAACTGTAAAGTGAAATACATCTGAACAAAGCGTAGGTGGTAACATTTTTCACTTTACTGTCAACTCAATAATCTATTGCTTGGCGAAGGCAAAAGAAGTCCAGAGAAGAAAACTTCATAATAACGGCGGAAGATTCACCATTTATCATTTAGTTTAAAGGAAACGTATGGTGAAAATGAGCCATTCACGTCTTTCTTAGATCACGTCATCTTCTCCGCTAATTTTATCATTTTAATAAAAAAAGTATTAAATATTTCTAAACGCGGCTGGAAGCTAAACGTTGAAGTCCAATGAAAACTTTTTGAATCAAATAGCATCAATTTAAATTATATTGTATCAGAATTCGTTGAAAAATTGGCCACTTCAGATTGGAACCATTTGTCGCTACTAGTTATTCCTTGATAGTGGTTGTTGGTTAGATTTTTTCGTGGCACTGTACTAAGTAGGTCGACCAACTGCGCCGTCTGACTTTTAAAACTGTCGCAACATCAGATTTGGGTCTCCGTTAGTGCAATCAGTCAGTCGTCAGTGCAAAGAGATTATCATGTCATCGGTCGGGATTGAATCCAATCAAAACCGGGTGGTGTTGTTCTGTGTAGATCTGTAAGAGCTAAGGCGAGATTGCATCCATCCTCTTTCGGAAACATCTCTGTCAAGAGGATGGGGAACCGGAAGGTGCATGAACGGGCATGAAACGTAAGTACCTAGATTGTCGACGTCTTTCGAAACAATGAATTATATCAATTCTATAGTTAGAAGAAAAAATAATCAGTATGTTTAAAAAACGGCATATGAAATTTAGTGTTTTTTAGTGTTTCCAATGATGCTTATCACTTAGATGAATTTTCTTCATGGAGTATTTTTTAGCTGGAGCATAGTACTCCTTCCCAACGATCAACGGTCATCATGGCTGGCAGGTGTTCCTAGGTGTCGGGTCGCGATGTACAGCGAGGGATTCATCCTCCGGCAGAGTCTCCCAAGCCGAGAGTGTGTTTCTATCAGGAAGCCCAGCTAAGAGTAGACCAATACCAAGATCCACGCCGCCGTGGTATAAAACTAGTCGCAAAGTGCAAATCTCCCTGTGATTCACAAGGGTGGCGACTGTCTGTGGTGGTGACGACCTGGGGCAAACTTTCGCCAGTCTGACCTCAGAATTCCAGGAAACCACAGTGGCTAGCCAGAACAGCAAAACTCCGAGAAATGGGCCGTGTAAGTATCAAAGTATCCAAGGATAGTACTCTCCAAGATTTGTAAACCGTTATGCACATATGGTTTGTTTTAATTTTTTAAAAAACGTCAGTATCACGGAATTGTATGGATTGCCGCAAAAGCAGATTCAGAATTTTTTCTTTAGTAAGTTTTTAAGCATTTATGTGGACTGATTCTTTTTCAGTGTGCGACATTTTGTTATCTGCATCACTCAGTTAGCTTCACTACTAGTTACTGCGTGGGCGGAGTCTGTACCGATGGCCCTTATTGGAGTGCTTTTGGCGTCGTTCTCTTGTGGATTTGGCGAGACGACGTATTTGGGTTTAGCCAGCCACTATTCTAAGTGAGCTACTGATACGATAACATATGAAGTGCGGTGATGAAGCAAAGGCCTCTCCAAAAGATTTTGTCTTGTTTTGCAATGAATATTATTCTAGTCAAGTATACATCCTTTAATGTATACATTTCTTTTCATTTGGACGAATCAAAATTATGCCCCGTTTATCCGATGATAACTCCTTTTTAGGACTTTTACTTTAAACCAAATGAAATTTTTAGTTCTACAATTTAATAGTGCCAAATACAGACCTAGTATTATGATCACACTCTGTAATAATTCCTAAAACTTATTTTAGACACACTATCTCGACGTGGTCTTCTGGCTCAGGGATGGCCGGCTTAGCAGGAACTTTTTCTTATGCTGTAATGACAGACGTAAATCTGTTGGCTTTAACCCCGACGGACGCCATGCTGGTCATGCTAGTCGTTCCTATATCCTTCATGTTTTCGTGGGTTCAATCTTGTCCATATTTATCAATATTCAGCGAAGTTATTATTAGTAAGATGGTTTGATGTTGATGCACGTCACTGTCGTGAGTGAATGCGAACCGCGGTTAGAGCATCACTGTTTCGGTCATCATAGTCATCTGTTCTATGCTCACAATAGTTAATCTATATCGCTTTAATGCCGCCTACCACAGCAGTATTTGGATTAAAATTTAAGCCTTTTTCAGGTACTATATGCTTCTTGTTAGAGCTCCAACTGTTCCAACAGTTAGTGTGTTTAAACCTTCTACATGGCTCGATTTCACCACTGAACATAAGTGAGTTATTCCAAGCACCATTGAATTACTACACAATATCGAGCAAGGACTGGCTATAACCCGCACATAGCAAATGTAAATATCTAAAAAGTCTGGCTCGACGAAGCCCCGGGTCGCCAACATTTTCACACATTTGGGTTTGGAGAATGCGCACTGAGCTGCATTAGGATTAGCTCACTCCCTCCAACGAATTTACGTGGGAAGGTCTTTGCACGGAATCATAATAAAAAGAAAACTCGTCAAACTCTAGCCAAACCCATGCGTGGTAGGTTGAAGACCTGCGTCGATGAAGAATGCGAGGAAATGGTTTGAATGCAAGAGGTGTTGTGATTGACAATCGTGCGATAGCGGTTTATATAATAATATTTAAAAACGAGGACAATAGTATGCAATGGCATTTTATTCTATTCCATTACATCCATGTTTACCAAAAATATCAACGAACAGACAGCAGAGCTGTGTTTAGTTGAAAATATAGCATAATAATACGCAAACATAAATCATCTCCCCAACGGTTTACCGCCTCGTCGTGTCTGGGAGGTGTTCCTGGGCGTCGGACTACGGTGTACAGCGGGGATTGATTCCCGGGGCATGGTCTCCCAAGCTGAGGAGTCCGGCGTCTCCATCAGGAAGCCTAGCTAAGAGTAAACCAATACCAGGTTCCACCACCGTTCTGGTATCAAAGCCGCATGGTAGTAAATATTTCTCTGATCCACAAGGGCTGCCACCGCCTGTCGTGGTGACAACCTGGAGCACTGGAGCAGACTTTGCCCAGGCTGACCTTGGCATTCAAGAACCGCAATGGCTTAACCAGCAAATCTTCGAAAAATGGAGATTATGCTGCGAACCCCACGGCCAATGAGGACGGGTCGTTCAAATATTAAGTAAGTAAACATAAATCATAGTTATTTTAATATTAGAATGCCCGGATTTACGAAGATTTATGTGGTTTATCGCGTAATTTCTAATTTACTAGCAGTATGGTAAGTGGAATACAGTTGTTTGAATCGGCTGACAGAACTGGATATTCACTAGTTCAAAATAGAATGCACGGCTTCGTACAAATTTGCCACGCAAGACTTTTCGCTGTTGATATATAGTAAGTCTCAAATTTGGGCAACGGACCCTTTATATAACGATATCAATATAACTACAATCGCATAACAAGTCCACCATATATACAAACAACGTAAGTATTAACTTGATCACTGGAGAACGGTTTCTTAGGGAGGGAAAAGTTGCATTAACAACGAAGAAGAAGATTCTCTGAAAGGACAATATATAAAATCGGATAAATCACACATCGTACAAATACATGAAAAGAATTTAAATGCAGCAGGTTCTAAAGAATTAATGTGCTAATAGTACTCTTTGTGGGGAATACTTACAAAGAGCACAGATATTTGAGACAGTTGCTAGATTAAGAACGTGTAACGTATTCATGAGAACTGACGGTGATTCTAATATGTCGATGTTGCAGGACTGTAAGACTTAGTTAATACTATTCCACTCTGTGCAGATCGAAAGTGAGAGGGTGTGAAATGTGAAGATGAAGCGGAAAACCAAAGTGATGTACAAGGGCCATGGCGATCTCTAGACATCGTTTGAAGGCAAATGGCAATGCTGCGAGCGTCAATGTCTTCCAATCACCGTGTCAGTGGTGAAGAGCTAACAAACACAGTACCGGTTAGCAGTGAAGCAAATGCGTGATCCAACCAACTGCTATGACTCACTGATTGTGCCGCGTTCTGTACATGATGATTATCTAGAAATAGTATACGAGACGTGTTACATTGCATAATGGCGATATTATAAATATGGATGAAAGCACAGGTAACTCTCTACGTGTTAAGAAGCAGTCGCTATAGGTTGTTTTCTGGCTGAAAACTATATTCCCTCCTTGAAATCTCGAAATAGCCGGTATAAAAAAAATGTTTTCAAATAGTTACCAGAGGCAGGTGCCAGTACATGTGGATCGCAGCGAAATTTGTCACCTTGAGTCTTGGCGACGGTGATTACTTCTACTGGTTTATTTTTAACTGGGCTCCTAGATGGAGACCCCGACGACGTTCCAGCTCGAAAAAAATTTCTCTGTACTTTGTAGTTTAGATCAGTGTAGCCGACTTCCTACGATATGGTGGTAAACAAATATGGAATCTTCTGATCTACTAGATTTTTGCATTATTTTAGAAAAGAAACGACGAAGTCAGAGCTTTGTCAAAGTGTGCATATGGAAGGTGTCACCAGCAAGGATACACCACTAAAAGCACAAAATGTATCACTCCAGGAAAAGCTGCAAATAACTAAGGTAAGATTTAATTTTCGAGAATAAAATGATGTAGAAATTTAGTGGTGAAATGATTTCCAAAGCTGCTCATTGCATTTTCCAGGGCGTTGTAAAGTATATGATCCCTTTCGGAATGGTCTACTTCATGCAGTACTTCATTAAACAAGGACTAGTAAGTGCTCATAGTTGATCAAGTAACAGCCATTTCTACCAATTCCTCTGTTCCGTTCGTTATATGAGGAAAAAAAACCAATGGTCACTTCCTTAGCAAAGAATCTAGCGGTGCTAATTAAAACCATGAAAAGAATAAAGCTCCCGGCGTTGATTAATCCCTGAAGGATGCGTCTTGCATTCGACTTCGCTAAGCATCATTTGGAGGTGATTGAATGCATATTTAGCTCTTAAAATTACTCGCGGTGGCTTACCGATATATCTTGCTAGTCCTACTATTCTCCTTACCACCGACTTCGGAGGGATGGAAGGCTTGGTGGGCCATGGGAGCGGAGATCGATTCTACGTATGTGTTGCAGGACGCCTCTGACCACTGCGCCACATGCGCCCACACGGTGCTAATTACCTCTACTGATTTTCATGAAATGAATTCCACGCGATCATTTTATTATTCCTATAGGAAATAGTCGTAATCCGAGATTTTATTCAGATTGAACTGGTTGTTTTCGACTGTTCACATGGATTCTACACCAGTTCGTCGTCACAGTACCGATGGTACCAGGTACAGAAATTTTACGTAGTAAATGGAGATTCTCACTTAAAATACTTTGTTTCCTTCTATTCGTTTTATGGTTATACACGGAATTTATCATCTCGGGTACCTTGCCGGTTCGATAGTGCTGCAGGTTCAACAAATCCCCCTGGGATCGTGAAATTGCTACCGGACTTGCTTGAGAAAAGCACTTTCTCTGCAATCCAAGTGGGAACGCTTTGGTCCAGCTAGGTTAGGATAGCTTATCTCAGGACTCCAAAGAGATTAGACTCGACCAGGATTCTACGAGATTCATGATGAAGGGAAATCCTCAAGCAGCAGCCGATGTAAGAAAAAGGTGGAAGACCCGCGTAGATCATTGATGCTAGGAAACGAATTGAATTCGAGATGCGCTGGGATCCACACAATATGTATGAAAGGTGGGTTATACAAAAAAGTGGTAAAAGTTGTAACTCTGGTGTAAAATCTATCTTCAATGTCTGCATTTTCAATTATTTATTCTTCCAGTCAAATAGCCATCAGTGACCTTCAATGTCCACATCTGTAGTTCGAATCTGTGGGTTGGATAAATGTGGAACAGAGCTTTTGATTTTAACTTCGCTAACCGACGTTACAAAGAAGTAATCTAATAGAAGACTTGTCATTCGCACTCGCTTAGTGTTTGGTGAAGCTCTATGCAGAATTCCACGTTTTTGTTATAATGAGCAAGCCATAGGTATCGAAACATGCATTGTAATCCTCAACAAGTTAGACGAAATGTCACCGCGTATGTTGTCATAAGCTTCCTTATTCCTCAAATTGGATTTGAAGAATATCGATTCATTTCACCTTGAGCATGAGACGTCGTGTAGGGGTGGGATCTCAGATAGCGCAGAATAGTATGTAACAGATCGAGCTGAAGTCTCGATGATATTTCTTGTTTACATAGAAGGCATCAAACATGATATTTAGCTTAAGAAAAAAGCACTTTTTTACCGAAGACTGGAATTATTGAGTGTACCACAACATTCGTCACCTCAGCTTTCAAGGAAGGCTTAATCCAAGGTCGAAATGTTACGCAGAAGGAAGCTATAAATATAAGAAAGGTAACGGCGTTGGTTTGATCACTTTCGAAGCCAGGTTCAGCCTGTGTGAAACTTAGTAATTTAGCACTTCATGTTAAGTAAGATAGCGAACCAGTTACCAATTTCCTTTCCAATATTTCTTAAAGAACTTTTCGTCAAGAAATAGCTCCACGTAGTGTACCAGTGAACGTGTAGCTCCTAAAACTTTTCTGTTCGCACGATAACAAAGGACGCACAGGTGAAATGTCCTTTACATTGAAGTTTAGTCAACAGAGACAAAATGTGTTTTCCACTAAGAAAGGCATTTTATATTTAACAAATAAGTACTGCACAGTACATAGCTTTAATGGTTGGACACACCTGAAATCAAATTGGCCTTGCAAACTATTACAATACTTGGATACTACGATGTCCCATCCTCATTAGTTTTGCTGACTACAGCATATTTTTCACAAATTTCGTTCACTTTCTATCGTTTTCTTTCCTTTGTCTTCTCTTTCTTTCTTAATCAACTTTGAACACTTTTACGTCTGCGAACACTTTGTCGGAGACAAATACTTTACACACATAGATGCACTTGGGTGAGGTGTGCTACAAATACGTCATCCTATTTTGTTAATGGCACTTGTAGAGTATACATGCATCCAGTAACGTTCCACTGTAGTTTTTGTCTCACTTACCTGTCAACACCACTTGTTATCACGTTCCGGTTCATCTAGTTTTTGTTTCTAACACTCATTTTCCAAATTAGGAAGAAAAAGATGTTTTTCTGAGGACTGTGCACTTCGATATATTGGCATGCGTGCAAAGTACATCTAAGAAGGTGATGTTATTAAGCATTTCAGCGACACTTTTTCAGCCAGCCTATTCACCATTATAGACCACTTAAGCCGGAAGTTCAGGTAACGACTAGATGCTTTTCGCAAAAC